TAGGTTGGGTTTAGAACTAGTTTACGTGAATAGTAGGGCCTCTAAACTGAGTACTGGACATTGAGGTGGGTGTATGAGGATATTTGGATGTCTGATAGGACCCTGTACCATAATCAGTTGTGGTTCTAGCATGTGCCACTCAAGTTAGCTGAAGAGAGGGTAGGTACCTATAGAGCAAAAGAGAGTGTCTTCGCTATTATAACTGGTTAGAAAGTAATTTCAAGTATGATCCAAGACTTGAATGTAGGATGGTATAGACCTTCAAATTAACCTGTCCAGCACTTAAGTCAACTTTATAGGTATTGTGGATCTCTCACAGTACCATTATCAGTGTTATCTATCCCCAAAATGATGAGTTCACCATGGCATGACCTTTATGAATGTGGGGGATCTGAGTATACCTATCAGTAGGGGTATGGTCCACCTCCCAGAAAGTGGTGCCCTTGCCCCTATAGCATATCTCTATCCTGGGCTATATAGCACCTAAGGTCTCTAAGAATTGAATGACCCTAGCATGGAATGTGTGGTCAAAGGTGGGTGAAGGTGTAGTGGAATATCATATGTCACTATATTGACTTGGATCGTGAGATTCCATAGATGCAGTCCCAAGATATCAGTGAAATGCTCCCTAACTCAGTATTTAATTATACTTGGCAGTCCATAGGTCAATGTAATGGTACCAGATGAGATTGCTAGATGGATGAGATAATAGTGAAATGATATACCTTTCAAATAAGCACTCTCCCAGCTTTATCTGCCCTGACTAGCTTGAGATCCATAGTTATCTTTCAGGGTTGATGGAGATCAAATACTACTGATGTGTGGATACATTCCTTTCTAGTATCATATTCACTCAGGTTCTGAGACTGAAATATCAGAGCCCTGGTGGGGAGTATCTGAACATATAAGTCACCTACCAAACATTGGTTTAAGTACCAGATATTCCCTTTGTTATGACTAGGAACCAAATACAGTCATTATATGGTATGATATTAATCAAATGGCATGGTTTATTAATGGTACTGCTCAATGGCTTCCTGGTAGTACTTGAATCATGTCTTTACCTCAAGTAGTTATGGAGATAGAGGCTCATCAGTTGTAGATCAGTTAGTGATTGGCTAGTGCTGGCATGACCATTTAACTGGCACTATAGGTTACTGAATGAAAGTTGCTTGGATACACAAAATATACAATTTTGATTTTGTGACGATCTATGACATTCTCTAGTGATTGAGCTTTCAAATAGTGAAATTTTCCTTTTTTTGGAAATTTGTCACGCTTGTCACGCTATATAATTCTGTAAGCTAGGGACCTCAACTAGCCTAAGTTCCTCAATATTCTCATTAGCGAGTATTCTTCCTCATATAATAACCTTGTATTGTAGTTTCTAATTAATCCCTTTGTGATGATGTGATGTCACATACTGATGTTGGTGTCTAAGCCCGAGGTTACCTTGCAAGGTTTCAGCCTGGGATTTATTCACTTTATAGCAGCTTTATTGGAGTATTTATCACAGCGTAGGGGTTTCAGAGCCATCCTCTCTAATTAGAATGACCAGTGGGGGGTAATGGTCATTCTAATTAGAGAGGATATGTGGAGTCCACAGGTGGATTCGTCAGGGCGGTGTTTTCCGCCTTGAGTTGCTCCATCTCCTGGTTCGTTCGGAACAGATGGGCGAACAGGAACTCCTATTGTTCGTTATGGCCCAGGGCCATGAATCGGGCACGCTCGTCCCCCTGGTTTGCGGGGGTGCCCATCATACTGTCGTGCTCGGTAGATATGTGTCGCACTTCTTGCATTCGTAGGGGGAGGCTAATATTCTGTCAACGTCGGGCTCGGGCCGTATCGGGGCGTCGGGGGGTCCGACTTCGAGAGGGTCTGAGGAGCACGAGAGATGGGTATTCGCCCGGAGAATAGACGATATTAGCCTAGCGACTACAGCTTGTAAGTACGGCTTTTATACACTACGATATTAGGGATAGATCGAATGGGCGCCAGGTCCCAGGGCAGATCGGATGGGCGCTGCGTAGGGTCGCAGGGGTGAAGGGAAGGGGTTGGAAGAACGGGGAGCGTCGAGGAGTACCCCGACCTAAACCGTGACAGTGATCCACTAATTCTCTATTAATTCAGATGATTGGGTTGCTGGTAGGTAGGTAGGGGTAGGTGGGGGTAGGTAGGTAGTTATATTGTCTTGATATCAGCATGGTCATATACCTCAAGCCCTATGCTATTGTCCCACTTTTCTATAGTTTTTCTGTCTTAAATCAGATCAGGCACCATTGATAATAACTTGAAGAATTTACAAAAAGTCATGATTTAAGTTGTATTCTGCTCCAATGAATGTCCCCTAACCCTAGCATATGTAACTCTCTTTAGTGTCTCATGATTAGATAGGAGATTCTATCCAATTAGGCCATAGAGGGAAGGATGTCTTGACTCTGGAGTGAGATTTATAAGACAATGACTATATAAGGACTTACTCTACAAGATATATGTATAGCTAGGATTCTATAGTTTCATTGATATTCTTGGATATTCAGAGGACTGATGCAGTCTGATGTCATCAGATCACATAACTGTGTGAGTTACCTTCCTGATATGGCAATATCATAGTCACAGTCAGTTGGTTCCCTGGAAGGCCGAGATGTTCCTGTTTTTCTAGTACCTCCTTGATCAACTCTAAGGCATCTGTGCCACCTGCCAAACTATAAAGTATCTCAGATATATATTCATCATAAGCATCATCCCCTTTATCATCCAAGTTGTATTAACTCAGGCTGGACATTATTTCCCCCACGCTCTCACTTGTGTCAAAGCCATCTTCGACTTCTTTCCCAACTCGATCTATGCCTAACCCAGATGAATCTCCTCCCCCTCCCCCTCCCCCCATGCCGATGTTGACCTCCTGCTTGCTTCGTCTTCGACAGTGACGGCTCTGGAAATAGCCACAAGTCAGCTTCCTCCCGGGTCAGCCAAGTGCTGACCAAGGCAGCTGGTGCCGTAAAGTGTGGTTCAGCCAAGGCAGTTGCTTTTGTCTCCCCGAAAAAGACATCGGCAAAGGGGGAAAAGTCTGACACACCTTGAAAGCACGCAAAGAAACGTCAACATCTTAACACACCATCTCAATCCTTGGTATCATTAGCTCCTTCGGAAGCGGTGTCTGTTATGACGGCAAGCGATCAGAGTCAGTTTCCATGTTTCTTCCTTGACTTCCGCACTCATGTCATGACAGGCTCCTTCCAGTTCCCCGCTGATATGGATTCTCTTCCACCGGCTCCTGCTCCATCTTCTGCTCTATCATTGGGGCCTGTCTCATGCAACACGTCCCCTGCTCCTATCAAAGATCGCAACAGCCGCCGACACCACATTTTCACCTGTGCCCTCAAAGGCTATCAGCACAAGGTGGCGCATAATCTTACCAGCACAGATGCAAGTGTAAGGGCAGCCCCGGAGGCCTGAGATCAAGGTCCTAGCAGGGGAGGATCCAAAGCGTGAACATTGGTAAGCGAATACAAATGAAACTGACCTAGCAGGGGAGGATCCAAAGAGAAGAAACTCTAAGGGTCCGCCTGCTAGGTAGCTGACTATATACTGCTTGTCCGTAGCTGCCGCTGTCGGGCACAGAAGGCTTGGGCGGCGTCGCAGGCAAGGTCCCAGGGCGACCGTCGGGAGGGCGTTGACGGATCGGTGATTGTGCGGGCGAGATGGAGGGCCGGACCGGAGTTGGAACCGGAGTCGGACCGGAATCGGGCGCGTCTCCGGGCCGAAAGGGAGGTTCCCCTGACAGCAAGATCGATAAAGAACCTCCTTCAACATGCTCGTGGGTCTTTCAGCGAGGAAACAGTCAAGGCTGCACTCGACAATTAGCGTTCTTTAGGTCAGCTGTTGTCAAGAATCAGTCACTTTCTTGACCTTATTAACTTTCTTAAATCCTTCTACTTTTCAATTATTTCAAGCTTTCTAGGTTCCCAGTGTGACTGGTAGGTCACAGGGATGTGACAACACATCAATCAGTCACATCAGTCACATCAAACTGCGGCCCATTGTCTGTTTGACAGGACAATAAGCCTCTATTGTCTTATTGACAGAACAATAGAGCATAGCCTTGGTTGACAGGACAATAGCACTCTATTGTCTTCCTGATTTGGATAGTGTTACTGTGATGTCACAGAGCAGCTAGAAGTGGGGGTGGGCACCGACGAAATATTGATGTGCATCAACTGATCTCGCATAGTCTTGGCTATCACTAAAGCTCACCACGAGTGTCCATACCTGCAAGTGCTTGCGGGGGTACCTGTGCCAAACCATTTGCAGGTATGGCACCCGCGGATACAAGTACTTAATTCCCACAGATGCCACAAATACAGGTGACAGTGTCGGAGCCTGCGGGTATACTCGGACTCGGAGTTATCGGAAATCAATCCGGTATCGGGGATCAAGCCGTGGCAGTGCCTGCCATGAGTAATCATTCTCGCTTTGCTCTGGACCACAAAGCACACTCGATGTGGTCAATGCGCACCCGTGGTGGGGGTATAAAACACTGTTGTCTTCGCTCGTAATGCCCCACAACTGCCCAAAAATGCCTCCAAAGCGACCCCTTGACCCCGTCGACACTGAAGAAGCTGCCGCCAACAAGCGATCAAAGCCGCTCACACCACAAGAACGCGACCATGACCTCCTCACCAAACTACTCAAGCTTGACAAGGACCTCGATGTCGAGGATAATGAGGCTGTACTGAGTGAGTTCTCGTCTTCTCCATAACTCTGACTCACGTTCTCCAGAGCTGCAGATGGCAGAGTGGAAACGAAAAGGCACCGACTGCTATGCTCATTATCAGAGCCCTCCGGCCATCAAGACTTGCGAGAGGATACAGCTCAGAGTCAAATGCTAGCACTAAGTCGGGTTCTGAGATGAGTAGCTCGCACTGCTCACGAACTTGCGCGTGAAAGGGCCCAAGAGAAACGCCGTTGAGTGCTGTGTCACCATCCTGACGGACGAATCACATATATGGTGCGGTGATCAAGATATGGTAAATCGCAAGAACCGCAAGCTCAGTGAGTGTTGGGTTGTCGTGCAGGCCAGCATTAACATTTTTCTCAATATTGGTGTAGGTCTGGTTGACCTTTCGGATGCGGATGACCTCCATGAAGCATCGATATACATCGAGGTGGGTTATCAGCTCGACGGCTGCCTCTCCGTGGCTCCCGAATCGCGTGTTGTTAGTCTGCGGGAAGCGCCGGACACATTCCTCGTTCAGCGCAAACTCCAGAAATAGTTCGTGAGCATCGCCCTGTCCTCGTTTGTCGAGTGCATTGTGGAATATCGCACCCGCGAGGGCCATTAGCTTTGCCCCGCCAAAGGCAATATCTTCGAGTTTCTTGATGTCCTCGTCCGTCACTGGTGCATCACCCTTTTCGGGCTGGAGGACCTTGCGAACAGCTGCAGCGTTGTCCTTGTTCGCAAGTGGGATAGGCCCGACGGCGCCTATTGCTTTCCAATGTGCCGTCATTGCCGCATTTCCGCCCTTAAAGGAATTTTGATCCTTATGCATACAGCATCCTGTCCACACCCACACTGTCAACAGGTTCCTTTCCCCTTCATCCATTGACGCTAGCTCCTCCACCCCCAGTCCTTGGACCATCGCCGCCGTCGTGGCCAGATCACGAGCAGCACGCTCAGCAGCGGGCAGTGCATTCCACTTCTCAATTCCGCCCGCATCTGCGATTTTCTTTGCACTCCACTCCTGCATCCTGCCCTCCAATTCGCCCATATCGTCCTCAATCATCTTCATTCGCTCCTCGCCAAGCTCGGTCAGCAGCAAGTCGTACTTGGTCTGCCGCATTGAGTCAGACAGCGCCTTTTCGTTATTTGCATGGTCGCCCCACATCCCTCGAAGGCGCCCACAAATTCCCCGTAGGTCCAAGGTCCCGGTGCGTTTAGCAAGAGGGCTCTTGTTGAAGGTTGTCATAACATCGTCATAGACTCTTATCCATGTTGCATGCGAGGTCGTTGTACTATGATCCGTTGTCAAATGGACGCCAACAAATCTCGTTGTTGGTGACTCTGCAAAGACGACCTGACTGTTGGCGTCATACCCGACAGGGACCTTTAAATGGATATGGTGCGACTGGTAGTTTTGGTGGCGCCGCCCGGTGCTGTCGCTGCTCATTGTGAAAGCTAGAGGTCCGTCGTCAGTTCTTTTGCAAACAACTGTGACTGTCGCTAACCTTGGGTCTGTTTTAGCTCGAAGCCAATCTGCATTCGGGCCATGACAAGGCCTTCCAATGCAATCCGGCCCACCGTCCGTCGACTCAGCACCCAATCCAGCTGTATCCCAAATGCAGCCGCCACTTCCCGCACCACCTGGCCAATACGGTCTTGCTTGCAGCCACAGCTAAGCAGCATGCGGACCATTGCCCGTATCTCCTGCTTGAAGGTGCGGCCTTTCTTCAGCTGTGTCCTGGCACGCTTTTTCTCCTCAGCTGATCCCACACGCAGCTTGTCCTTCAAAGCCTCGTAGCGCTGAGCCCTTGCCTCCAGCGCCCGCAATCTTGCTTTCAGATAGCGCACATCAGCACTCGTGGATGCAGTTCTGTCTGCGGCATCTACGGCTTGCTTTTGCGCCATCTCCAAGCGGGTGTGCGCCTCTGCAATCATGGCGTGGAACCTAGTGTCGCGCTCAAAGCTGTCTTGCAGGGTCTTGTACAGCATTGCCTGAGCTTCTTGTGTGGCAGCTTCAAGCTCGGCCTTTGCTGTCGCTATCTCCTTGTCCTTGGCCACCAAGTTTTGCCGGAGTCGTGTCTCATGTCGCAGTGACAATTGGTACTTGTGGATGAGTTTCTGGTAAGCGGAGTCGGCAGCACGGAGTTTCTTTTCATAACTATGAATAAGCTTCTTTGTTCACGGGCTTGGAGGTGGTGATGGGGATGAAAAGGTGGGCCGCTGGTTCTCCTTATCTTCAAGTTGCACAAGTTTCTTCTGTACATTTTTCCACCCGGCCGCTCGCTTGGCTTTTGAGGGATTCTTTTTGATTCTTTTGCCCATACTGGCCTATAGTGTGTTCATAGTTAGTTTCTAATACATTGGGGCATGTACGCAATGCCCAATATGGCGTGAATGTGCTTCTCGTGCCGGTCTGAATAGCCGAGACGTGCTGAGTCACATCGTGACGGCGCCAATTAACTGAGTTGGCAGGCGAATCAGTTGGGAACATTTTTTGTCAGATAGAACACGTTTCCGGCTCTGATTTTTTACCAATCCATGTGTTTGAGTCCAATCTATATTTATTACTTCTGGCTAAGATTTTGGTCTGTTCCTGAACTAGAGTCGGTATCAAACATGGGACACAATAAACCATTTCCTTCACTGGAAGTAACAAATATGCATGGATATGGACACAAGAGATTTCTACAATCAGCTACATCCAAAGCCCTGTACATAGCCTATAAAATGACCTCCCATATCTCCCCCTCGGCTCTCTGCAAAATTAGCGTGATGGTGATGGCATTCCCATCATGATGTGCTCAGTGCCCACCCCCACTAGAAGTAGTATAACAGGCCTAGCTACAAGCCATGTACCCTAGTCCTTTTATCACATCACTTTGCCCCCCTTCCCCCTTGGGTTACTTGGCTCCTGCCTGTCTTGTATCACTGCTTATTGCCCTAGACCTTATAGTCACATCTTACCGTGACCTCTGACGTCTGGGTATGACCGTGACCGTGACGGTCACAGCCTTGTTCGTGACAAGAAAAGAATATAGTGGCTAATTTCTATTGGTGACAATTTGATGTAAAACTACACATTGGTACAGATAGTCAAAAAAAAAATGTGGCTAGGCATGCAGTGTGTACTTGCCACGTGTGCATCCTCTTCTCCTTCTGGTCCCTTGATATTTTGAATAAGTGTTTGGGTCAAGAAAAACTTTACATATTCCTAATAACTCTTCCCACTCAAACATTTTTGAATCACAGTTGTGAGGAAAACAGAGCACTTTTCATCATAAGAAGTTTTTCAACCTTTTTGTACAACAATTTGTTTTCTCTGAAGATTGCTGACCTATTGGGTGGATTTAAAATCCTCCATTTTGATTCTTGCGTCATCGCACCGCATTGCCATGCGAGACGTCACACGGGCGAAGCTTCGCCAAGATCATCGCCATCGCCATTGCCTTCTGCGCAGCGAGCCGAGCCGACGGAGATAGCCATCGCACTTTTCTCTCTCTCTCCCCTCCCCATGGCGTCTGCGTTTGCGAGCAACAACCCGTTCCGCACGCCCGAGGGGACGCCAACGCCGACTGGCGGGTCCACCGCGAATGCGAATGCTAGTAGCCATGCGACAGAGTCCAGTCTGCTCGCGGAGGACCTCCCGCCAGCGTATACCGCGGGGCCCGATGTGCGCCAGGGAGAGCATACCTTGGAGCTGGGGCCGGCAAGGCCGTTCCAGCAGCCCGGCCAGAACTGGCTCCCACCACAGCGACCGCCACCGCAGCAGACTGGGGGCAGCAGCAGCCAATTTGGGGGCGGGTATGCTGGGTATGGGAGCGGAAGCGGGAGTGGTGGAACTGGATATGGAGGCGGGTATACCGGGAATGGCCGCGCTGCGGGGGCTGTGGCAGCAGCTGACGGGACAGATTGTGTCCAACATCCAAGCAGCGGTGTACCCCGGCCAACCCAGTCAGCAGCAGCGATACAACTCCCCTCCACACCCCCCTCCATCATCGCCCTACCTCTCCCCGCAAGCCCCTTCCCGACCTGCCCCGCCGCTGTCCGACTTTGCCCGCGACTTCTACGCTACGACCCACGTGCCGCCCGGCGCGTTCTCTGACGTCTCTAATGCCCGGGCGAGCTCTGCTGAGCCTACGTCATACCCGCCGCCACCGCCGCTTCCGCCGCGAAGGAATAGTGCAGACGCAGCGACTTATAGTCCGCCGTCTGGGCCACCACCCGCGAGAAATACTGTGCCCGATGATGGACGTCCCACGACAACACCGGTGCCAGGACATCCGCTGCTGCTAAACGGGAAGCTCTTGGTGTACCCGGAAGGGTACGAGTGCCATAAATGTATTCTCCGTCCCTTTGCTTGTTTTTTTTCTGATCCGTTATAGGCAAGAACACGGGCTACAAGCATTCTGACCCAAGCCATCCATGCACGCGCTGCTGGGACAAATACGCGCGGCCGTATGCCGGCGCGTTGATTGCTGCACCGAGTGCGAATGCAAATAGTGTGTTGTTCTCTTCACCATTGCAGATCCCTTACTTCATTAGGCACCGCACACGGCCCCACATTCCAGCGTCCACTCCCGAAACTATTCGCCGCCGGCTCACGGCCCGTTGACCCGCCCTCCTCTTCCTCCTACCCTGGATCCTCGCTCTCCGCATCAGGCTACCCACCTCCGCCTTTGCACCCCTCACACTCCCTTTCCCACGCCCACTCCCACTCGTATTCCCAACCGTCTTATCCGCCGCCGCCGCCACAGCCCATCGCCGGCTTGCCCGCGCCAGCGCAGGCACTCCCACCGGGCGACCCGCGGCTTGGCGGTGCGCAGTGCTGGCGGTGTTCTGGTCGCGGCCGCGTGCCGTTCTTGGTTTTCGAGAGCATGCCGTGTGGTGCGTGCGGGGGCGTGGGAAGGGTGTATCGGTAGGGGAAGTCTGAAGGATGACCCGCCCCCGCTTGTGGTCTGAGTGTGATTGGTTGCATGGCCGTGGCCGTGTGGCGCCCGTTCGATGCAGGGCGAGTCTTTAGAAAGATCTCGAATGCGGTCTTCGTTTTTCTGCTGTGGTTGTGGATGTAGGACTTGATATACATATTGCCCGTTGTGTGATGTATAATTTTTTTTGCTCGCCAATACTTGTAGTTGTGTTTTGGCACAAGGGTCCGTTGTGTCGGAAAAAAAGTTGGTGCCTTATAAGGCAAGAGCCTTAAATTCGACTTATATTGTTGGCAGTCTGAACACCAAAGTCAAGGTACATATCAACGACAAGGTAACTCCGGATGCATCGAAGAAGGAGCAAACCCAGGTTATCGGTGAGAATGTTGTGCGCCGCAAAGATAATACCCTTCGAAATGTCCCGGTGCACCTCAGGCTACCCCCCCCTGATCTCTGTTAGGGTTAAAGAACCCCCCCTCTCCCCAAGCCTATGAGGGGGTCCTCCCATGGGGTTACTCCACTGGGTATGGGTCTACCCAGATTGTGGGCTTGCCCATGGTCTGTCACATCACATTAGCCCTTTTTGGTGTGGGTTGACCCATGGGTGTGGGTATTTGTATTTAATTTATTACAGCCTATATAGCAGCCTAGAAAAATATATAAAAATGCTGGGACACTTAGACATGTTCCAAGTAATATATTATGATACTTGGGTGATGGGAAAATACATTTCATAGTTCAGGTAGGGGGCAGGTGCTTGGATTATATTTTTTTCAGCTGGCGTGGCTGTATGGAAAGTATCTAGACAATTGGGTACCTATATAGGCTATAGATAAAAGAAAAGGTGGTGGTGGGCAAAAAAATGACCCTTCCGAGAGTTGAACCAGAGGGGGTGGGGGGGCAAGACTTGTACTGGAAAAAAAAGACAGGTGCTGGAATTGAACGGGTGAAAGGGAGGTAAGAGGGAAGCCGACTGGGCCACGGAACGATTATAGGTCGGTGCTTTGATCGTCACTTGACGCCCTTCCACCCCTGCTACAAAATAAGCATATTGTGCTCTGCTGGTTTGGCCTTCCGCCCATGCTCCTTAAGCTTGCTGCTAGAACGTTCCTATAATATGTATTATCTATATATACTCATGCTACATAGGTCGTCTGGCTATTACTGTGCTGAAATCAACATATCACCGTTATATCTGACATGGCCGATGATGCCGGCCGGTATATGACTCTGCCGGCCGGCATGTTCAACTTGGGTCGTCCCCATGGTTGCTGGGTATACCCGGACGCGCTCGCGGAACGTGATTTGGGTCAACCCAAGGGGCTTCATCAGGCCTGGTTTGGGCAAGGCCATCACTCGGCTTGGATATACCCGAGGTCTTTCCCAAAAAGGACATGGGCCAGCCCGGGGCGGTTGTGGGCTGACCCACACGCGTCGCACAAAGACGCGTCCGGGTAGGCCCATCAGTGCACGTGGATGCGCCCAATTGGGGTGGTCATACCCGCGCAAACCTTCCTAAATAGGCTGGGCAGACCCATCAGCCAGGTATTTTCAGGTCATGCACTTGGTTAAGCCCACCATCAGTGGGTATAACCCGCGCGTTTGCCTCCAGGGTCTGCGGGCACGCCCACGTGCTTCCCGGCTCGGCCCACGGGCATACCCGAGTCGGATCACGCACCTGATCGGCCGAGTCGGCCGAATCCCTCCCCCCCGGGGCTCGACCTCTGTGACCGTTACCGTGGGAAATCGTCACCTCTCCCTCTCTCCAATTTGCACCTTCCTATTCGGGACATCCTCCCCGCCTCCTCCCCGACCCAGTCCCTCTTCCGCCCCCACCGCGTTGGTGCGTTAAGCTAGGTGCGCAATCCGTTCAGCAGCCTTCACGCGTGCTAAATCCTTCCTCAAACAGTAGATGAATACATCGGTAGATACAAAATGTGAAATCTAAAGAAACACATCGTCATCGTCACCTTCCACTTCAGCCCGCTCAAGAACACTAAGTACTGCTAT